AAGGCTTGCAGACAGTGACATCTCGGCTGCTTGCTGGCAGTGGAGGGGGGGGTGTCAAGCGGAGGGGTGAATGCCTACAACTGTTTTCTACCTGTGTCCCTGCCAAAACAGAGCAGTATTTTCTCATAAGGGATCCACTGTGGTGGGAGCCTCTTTCCTGTCCTTCCTGGCAGCAAAGGGGAAGCAGGGGGTCATTTATCCTTTAGATTTGTCAGGGCTTGGCCTGCCCCATGTTCACCCTTAATTTATTGGAGATGCCCAAAGATGGGTTGTCAGAGGAGGGAGTTATTCAGGCAGCAGCGCTGCCCCAGCATGGTGGGGACGTGCTTGGCCGGGGACTGGCCACAGGCTCCCTCCTTTGTATCTCAGCTGGGGAAGCCCCCAGCTCCGTGCCCCATTTTGTGGGTGCTCAGTGCCGGGTTGCTCTGTTGGGATGGAGGGAGCAGGAGCGGCTTGGGCACCCTCAGCTGTACTGGCATGGCCGCAGCCCCGCGCCAGGACCAGACCTCCCTCCTCTCCACTGACATTGCCGTCCCACTGCTGGGGCATGAAGGGCATCGCTGCAGGAGATAGCAGTGTTATCTCCCAGCGCAGGGCAGGCAGCAGCACCGAGTGTGACCTCCTCGTGCTGTCCCCTCTCGGAGGGTCACCTCTCCTGCCAGGGGACCTGTATGCCCCGGTTTGGCTCCTCCAAGTCCCCACCCGGATCGATCCCAGCCTGTTTCCCCACACACCTCCGTAAGCCAGGAGAAAATCCATGCTAGGAGGATGCAGGAGGGGGATGGCAGTCCGGTCACTGCCTCCCCAGCCCCAAAACACATCCCCTCCAGAGGTACAGGGAAAGGTGTAATGATAAATCACACCGACATATTCAGCCGGCTCTAACTAATGACCTCCCTAGCACTCAACACATTTTCCTGGCGTGCTGGCTGTTCAGAATATTGTTGTAACATTTAACTCCCTTTTAAAAAAAAATAAATAAAATTAGCTGTGCAGTTGGCAGATTGCTGGAGACACTTGGATTCTCTGCGGGAAACCGCTCCATGGTGGGAGTTTGGTTACTGCAGTTTAGTGGCAGGAGTCATTGCTTCTAATGTCAGCTCATTAGCTGGGGTAGTCCAAGGCGTCACTGCGTTCAGAGCCCGCGGGGAGCTGTGGGCCGTTCCTTCCCACTATTAATATTATGGGCCTGTTTTGTTTTCTACGTGTTAACGCTATTAGTGCTGCATAAGACGCGTGGCACAAGCGGCAGGGGATGGTCCTCGTCCTGCCCGACACCCAGCATGGGCTTGTCTGCACCAAAGCTGGGGCTGGCAATGGGATTAAGGTGCTCCGGGTATTAGGGGAAGTTTTGAGTTTGTTCCCAGGGGGTAAAATTGTGATGGTCAGGGGCGCGAAACTCCTGGGAAGGAGGTGGAGAGGGGGATGTAACCTCCTATAATTCCTCTGCCAGCACTCTGGGGCAGCTCTGGTTGTGGGGAGATGCCGGGGTGATGCTGGAGGATGGCACTCGTGACCCAAGGAAATGCAGGGTGACCATGGGGCTGCAGCCCCGGCTAGTGCTGGCGGCAGAGCCTGTCCAGCCCTGGGTTTCTGCACATTCACACAAGCCCTCTCCCAGCCCGAGCCTCCTGCAGCGGCAGCGTGGGGCTCCAGTCTTCAAATTAAAACCAAACCAGAAATTCAGCTTTCAGTGAACTTGAGAAAGCATATTTCCAAACAAAACTGTGCTAAATAAAGTACAAGCCGCAGGCGGCCGCCTGCTCCGACAGATCCACTTTGCTCGCCTTTATTTAGCTGCCGTCTCCCCATGCTGCTGCTGCCGGCCTGGGGCCGGGGGGGTTTGTCCCCCCAAGATCTTTGGTGCTTCGGGGAGGACTCGGTCCCGTGGCCCGGGTGAATGTGGGTTCTGACGTGGGACGTGGGCTGTTTCACGAGAGCTGCCCCAGCCCTGGACCAGTGTCAGCCCTTTGGGTCTGTCCTGGCTTCCCCTCACAGCAGCGGGTTCCCCAGCATCCAGGGTGCTCGGACAGGGTGAAACCCTGTGTGACATGGGAGGAGGGGGAGGAAAAGGAAAGGAGGGAGGAAGGAAGGAAGGAAGAAAGGAGAGGAAAAAAAAAAAAGGGAGCTCCTGAACCCAGCAATGTGACCGGCCATACCATGGGGCCCCATGCTGACGTTGGGGAGGGGGTCATGGTTTTTTCCTTGCAGAGTAGGACACACTGTGGAGCAATGCCCCAGGCTTTCCCAAGCTGCTCTCAAAGGGGTTTCATCCCCAAAGCCTCCCTGATTTCTTCCATGCCTTTCTATGGGTACAAGCCACATCTGCTAACTCTTCATTTCACTTATGTATCACAGAAGAGAAACTGCCCGTTTATGTCACAGTGAAAAATGAAAGAAAAGAAAAGAAAAGAAAAGAAAAGAAAAGAAAAGAAAAGAAAAGAAAAGAAAAGAAAAGAAAAGAAAAGAAAAGAAAAGAAAAGAAAAGAAAAGAAAGAAAAGAAAAGATGAAGAGCAGGAAGGAAGGAAGAGAGAAAGGAAGAAACAGAGAAACCCAGAAAGGAGGGAAGGAAGGAGGGAAAGGGGAAAGCGGGGAAGGCGGAGGGGAGCAGTGGTGGTGACTGGGGAGCCCGAGGGTCCCCGGGAGCATCACCCCTGGGTGAGGGCAGCACGGCTGCCTCCGCAGTCACCCAGGCATGTCTCCCCTCCCAGCACAGTTAATCCAGACCCTAGCTAATCCTCTCGCAGGTCACTGGGAGCTCATTGCATTTTGTTCACTTCTCAAATGCATCTAGAATTAATTAAAAAAAAAAAAAAAAAACCACAACAGTAAATTCATCCTGTGGCAAAAGCATTCAGCATATTCCCCCAGAATGAGCCAGAGGGGTGATGGAGAAGGAGCCTTTCCTGGCTCCAAATGCTCAGCTTTCATTAAAAAAAGAAGAGAGAAAGCCTTAATGAATGTAGCCAGTGTGGTGAGGAGGAAGACTCGGGATGGGTGACCAGACTGGAGTTTGGCAGTGTGAGCCTGCAGGCAGCCCGACACGTCAGCTCTGCAAGGCCACTTTGGTCCCATTTGACTTCCAGTGACTATGAGGTTGTAAATATTAACTGTTCGTGCCTATTTTACTCTTCCCCATGGCTGTAAGGAGGGAGAGGATCTCGTGCCGACTGCCTCAGCTGGGTGCAAGCAATCTCTTGGTCTGCCGACACTCCAACAAATAACTGTGGTGCTTGAAAAATCAGCTTTTGGGATAAAAAAATGTTTGTGCCTGGATTGCAGCAGGTGAAAGTATGTTATTTGGTGTATAAGCTGGTGCCATGCGTGGATCTGTTTCTGGCACCCAGGAGGTCTGGGCAGATTGTTAGCACTCCTGCTTGTGGTGCTGCCATTCTGTGGGGATCCCCAAGTCCCATGCTGGATTTGGGGTGAATTTCTGTAAAAGGCAATCCAGCATATCGTTGCTAGCCGGGCTGATGCAGCCCCAGGCAGGCTGTGCCTGACAATGCTTCCCGGCACTGGGGCTGGCCCTGGCCACTGTGTAATGGAAAGGGTGTGCTTGTCCCAGTGTGTCCCCGGGCACTCGAGCTGATTGCAGGAATCGACTGCATCGATCAGGCCAGTGGATCCGACACAGCACGTACAGCCCAGTGGGTTCGCCTGCGCCTCTAGGCATGAGCCGGGCACCTCTGCGCTGGGGGGATGGGGTGTCGTGGGGGGCTCTGCACCCGCCCCCCCACCACATTGCTGCCCCACGCAGGTCTCATTGCCAGCAAGGTTGTTTCATCCCCAGTGACACATCCCATGTTGCCAAAGAATAGGATGAGCTGCAGCAGGGGGTGGTTTGGGGAGTGCTCCTGCAGCGCCATCTCTTTGGGGTGCTTGATACATGCCACGTGGCTTCTCCACAATCCCAGCCACTGCCTGATGCAGCCCCACGTGCCATCCAAGAGGCACTGGGGGAGCCCACCCGACTTGGGCCACCTTGCCCGTGTCCATGCTTGCTCCCACCTCTCTCCCAGGCAAAGCTGAGTGTAGGTCCCTGACCCTGCAGCTGAGCCCTCCAGAAGGGATCAAAACAGCTCCCCGTTCCCCAGTGGCAGTTGTCCCTTCATTAGACTTGGCCAGCAAAACCCATCTGTGACCGTAGATAGCTCCATGTCCCAATGGATGTGTTGGGAAAGTTGCTCCTCGGGACATCTGCCCCGAGCAAGTGCCTTCCCTGGGCCTTCTCCATCCGGCTGCACATTGGCCATGTCCTCTCCCATCCCCGGGCTGGGGGACAGAGGTTAAATCCACATCTCCCTGTGGTTTCCCTCGACCCCAGAAGAGCTGGTGCTCGGGAGGTCGGGCAACTGCTGCTGCGATGTGCTGGGCAGCAGTCCATCTGGCACAGGCAATGTGAACTGATGGAGCTGCTTTCAGGCATACCTTTATTAATATCTCTGTGCTAAGGCAAGCAGCTTGGCCTCTCTGCTTTCCTCTCCAGCAGCCTGACCCCACTCCGACAGCAGAGCTCCTAAGAAAAGTGAAGGGGAGAGACTCCAGTGGTACCCAAGGTTTTTCATCCGCTGGCGTTACTGGGGTTCCCAGAAATGCTGTGTCTCCCCAGCAAGGTTTGCTCACTTGCTTTGTAGTACGAAAGAACAAACTCTAAGACCTTCTTCTTTCATTGTGTGCAGACTTTGGGAACGTCCTAGCCATAGGAAGGATAGTAAGGGCAGTTGTTGGGGTCCTCACTCAACATGCAGCCACCCACCCCACCAGACCCATGGCCAAACACCCCCTCGGGTCCCTTTGCCTTGAGAGGTAATGGCCATGTCTTTGTTTTCTCATTGCAGAACCTCTCACGGGATCCACCTGGTGACGTGGCAGCCCAGACGTGGAAGCTTGGGACTTCTCTTCCACTGCAACAGAATTTGGGGGGTGGGCAGGGGTGGGCCAGGGGGACGCCGGGAGCTGCAAGACCCTTCACCTTCACTGTGGGCTTGGCTCAGGGATGACTGCAGGCAGAGTCAACCCTTACAGCATCGTGTCCTCCGAGGAAGACGGGCTGAGGTTGACCACCATGCCAGGTATCAACGGCTTTGGCAATGGGAAAATCCACACCAGGAGGAAATGCAGGAACAGGTTTGTAAAGAAGAACGGTCAATGCAATGTGGAGTTCACCAACATGGATGACAAGCCGCAGAGGTACATTGCAGACATGTTCACCACGTGCGTTGACATCCGCTGGAGGTATATGCTCTTGCTCTTTTCCCTGGCATTTCTGGTGTCCTGGTTATTGTTTGGGCTGATTTTCTGGCTAATTGCACTCATTCATGGAGACCTAGAAAACCCGGGTGGAGATGATACCTTCAAGCCTTGCGTTCTGCAGGTCAATGGCTTTGTTGCTGCTTTTCTGTTCTCCATCGAGACCCAAACGACTATTGGTTACGGCTTCCGCTGTGTGACGGAGGAGTGCCCGCTTGCGGTCTTCATGGTGGTGGTTCAGTCCATTGTGGGGTGTATAATTGACTCTTTCATGATTGGTGCAATAATGGCAAAGATGGCCAGGCCCAAAAAACGGGCCCAGACATTACTTTTCAGCCATAATGCAGTAGTGGCAATGAGAGATGGAAAACTCTGCCTGATGTGGAGAGTTGGGAACCTCCGGAAAAGCCACATAGTAGAAGCCCACGTACGAGCTCAGCTAATTAAGCCCAGGATCACAGAAGAAGGGGAGTACATACCACTCGACCAAATAGACATCGACGTGGGGTTTGATAAAGGCTTGGACCGTATCTTCTTGGTGTCCCCCATCACCATTCTCCATGAGATCAACGAAGACAGCCCCTTGTTTGGGATCAGCCGCCAGGACTTGGAGACAGATGACTTTGAAATCGTGGTCATCCTGGAAGGCATGGTAGAAGCCACCGCTATGACGACGCAAGCTCGGAGCTCCTACCTGGCTAGTGAGATCCTCTGGGGCCACCGCTTCGAGCCAGTCTTGTTTGAGGAGAAAAACCAGTACAAAGTAGACTATTCCCACTTCCACAAAACCTACGAGGTCCCGTCCACCCCCCGTTGCAGCGCCAAGGACTTGGTGGAGAACAAATTCTCATGAGCCGTGATGAGGAGGAGGAAGACGATGACAGCCGGGGTTTGGAGGACCTGAGCCCAGACAACAGGCATGAGTTCGATAGACTTCAAGCCACAATAGCATTGGATCAGCGGTCGTACAGGAGGGAGTCGGAAATATGACTTTTGGTCCTTCCATTGACTTTTCCGAGGGTATTTTTTTTCCTCCTCTAATCTCTTCCCCTACAACCCGCTCAAATTATGCAGAACAATGCAAGTGCCATAGGAATGCTTGAGAAATTAGTATCGTTCATAGTTTTCAGTTTCATCGCAATAACCACTGAGCGGTCTGCAGGAGGGGATGGCAGCAGGCCACGGCGCGTCTCCCGCGCCCGGCGCCTGCAGCGGGGCCGATGGCTCTGGGGGGATGGACGGACTGACGGACAGACGGAGAGAGGAGGGTCCGTGGGGCGCGGGCAGGCGCTCGCCCCATGCGGCCCCGCGGGGCTTTGCTCTCCCCGCAGGGAAAATGCCAGCGTTTTCTTGGAGCCAAGCACTGCGAGATCCAAAATGAGGAAATATCAGGAAACAAATCTTTCTCTCTCTCTTTCTTTTTTTTCCTTTTATTTTTTAACTGAGCAGCAACAACAAAAAAATTGCTCCTTCCGGCAGGCGGTCTGATTCAGTTGCACAAGAACAACACTTGAAATAACATGCAACATTAACGTACTTCTTTTTAATTTGGGAAAAAAGCGGGGGGAGGGAGGCAAGAGGGTTTTTAATTTTTTCACCGTACCGTTTGGGAGACTGTTTACCAAAATAATAATAATAACAATAATAATAATAATATTAAATCTGAAAGACGTGATTCAGTATTTTTTAAAAATGAACAAGGGAATGAATAAGCCACTGGGGTCCTTTGAGGAGGTGACTTGCTGGGCAGATGTGAGAGCTAGAAGTCAAGACTGCATCCAGTTTTGGGGTGGGTTTTTTTTCCACTGGCACGGCTTCATAGGCAGAAAACAGAAATAAGTGGCTGGAGGTCCATGGCAGTGAAAGCAAGTAGCATAACTACTGGCAAAGTAGCTAATAAGGAAAAAGCAGACTGCAATAGAAAGAAGCACTGTAAATACAGTAATTAGCCAATTTCTGGAAATATTGATCTTCACGGTGGAAATTGGGTCTGGGGCATCAGCTGATGAAGTGTTGGGTCTCCCCCAGCATCTCTGACAGGGAATTCATAAGTTTCACTGTAACTGGGATGAAACAGCGTAAAGCACAAAAAGGAGGGGAAAGCTCTCAAATTTGGCTATTTTCCAACTTTTTCCAACCAATTTGGTATTTTCTCCCTTGAAAAATCATTTCAAACATGGAAATCAATGCGAAAGTCATCTTGTTGAGTTGCACTTCTTCTAGCACAGGAGCCGTTTCCATGCCAGGCTGGGATTTATGAATTCCCTGTTCACCGGAGAGTCCTGCTTCAGAGGCAGATGCTTTTCCGAAAACAACAGATGCCAGTCAAGGAAACCACCCCGTCTTGTGCTTCAACCCGTCCCCGTGTCCCAGCTTCAAGGTGGATTGTGCCTTAGAGATGCAAACTCACCCTGCGCCCCAGCCCTCCTCCCCAGCACCCCGCTTGCATCCTCCCCTTGGGGCAACATCCCCTTTGCTCTACCCCTGGGGCAGCGCCCGCATCCCACTGTCTGCTGCATTTTAGGCTGGCCTTGATGGCACACTGGTTTAGCTTTTGCTACGGCACAGGGCAAACCACCCTGTGCATGGGAAGCCTTTGCTCCTGCCCTGCTCCGCGCCTTTGCACAGAGGGAAGGAGTCGGGAAGAAGCAGGTTTCAGTCCCTTCATCCTGGCCATGCTGTTCATAGGTGCTCTGGGTGCCAAAATCTGGCTCCCTGCTCCCCATGGCTGTGGGAAAGGCTTCGGTACCTACAGGCATCCCACACCTGACCCTGGGTGCAGAGTCCCGGCAGCACATGGCCTTGGGGAGAAGGGGTCGAGAGTGGGATCTCTGGCAGCTTTTCAGCTGTGATGGGCTTCCGGTGCTTTTCTCCCCCGGACCATGTCAGGGAAGCTCTGTCCCAGGGTTAAAACTTGCTGTGGCATGTCCAAACATCAGTGGCAGAGGCAGGATTTGTCCTGTGTCCCCATCCCCATCTCCTTCTTGCAAAGGGCTCTGCGGAGCGGCTGCCCCGGTGCCCCCCTGCTGCCCTGTGCCCCCAGGCATCATGTCTCGCTGGCTGGCTGCGGGATGGGGACCAGGACTTCGTCCTCACAAAGTTTTCTCCCTACCCTATTCCCACCAGTGTCCCTCACCATAACCCTGTGCTGCCCACCAAGGGGCTGCTCTATTTTTACCTTCCCCTAAAAACCAGCCACTGGGAGAAAACATCCCCGGGGGCAGTGCCGCAAGGAAGCCAGCCGTTTTGGCACTGAGTGCCCCAAACGGGCTGTCCCCAAAAGTGGGGGCACGTAAGGACGTGCCATTGAGCTCCAGCTGGGACATTTGTGTTTCCAAGGCAGTGAACACGGATGCCACCGCATCACCGGTCCCTTTGCTCCCAGGGGGGATGGTTTTGCCACCTGCTTTTTGCCCCGTAGCATCTGGGGGGTGGGAAGGATGGGGGGGACAGAGAGATTTTGTGTGCTCACTACTTATTTATTTTTTTAAAAAAATGCTTTTAAGTGGTTTTAGGTTCTTTTGAATAAATAATAATTATAAAAAAAAGGTGCACATCTTGCTGCTGTAGGGTTCTCAGAGGGTTAATTTCTTTATAAATATATATATATATCACAGTAAATATTTGTATAAAAATGAAAGAGAAATAGAGATGTCTTTAAGTAAATTATTGCTTTTACAGAAACGTCTATGATTGTACAGTGTTACCTGGGAGAATAGAATAATATATACAGATGTATTTTTAAACTGCTGCGTAGGAGGATGTGAACTGGGCTGGGGAGCGCCTGTGGCCGGCACAGCAAGGGGGGTTTGGACCCTCCCCAGCCCCCGTTCATGCACCCCCTTCCCTGAACCCCGCTAGTCAGGATCTAGCTCTGGCGAGTCATCATATATATACTGTATAGTCCTCATCCTGGCCATGGACCATGCTGGTACATAGTGTATAAATATTATTTTTGCCTACCTGTGAGCACTCTGAGCTACTGGTCTTTTTTCCTGCCATCAGGGAGCATTGGGAAGGTTGCCCAGGGGTAATCACATGAATTGTGAAAGAAAGGGGGGAAAAAAAGAAAAAAAAGAGGAAAAAGCCAAAAAGTGGTGTTTGTTAGGTGCTTGGGTTCCCTGGAGGGGCTGGAAAGGCACAGGGATGCTTTCGGGGTGTGGGTTTTGGTGTCAGTCATGGCAGTGATGGAGCGGGAAAGGGCGGTCGGACGCGAGCGAGGGGATGCGTCCCTCCCCAGAACAGCCGCTGGCCATTTCCTCCAAGTGAGGCCACTCCATCCATGGAGTTAACTCCGGTGTTACGCTTGATCCTTGGAGGATGGCGGGAGTCCGAGAAAGGAAAGAGACACTAATCCTCTTGGCCAGCAGCTCGTAGGGATTGCCCTCGGCCAAGGCTCAGGGCAGCCTCCGGCAGCAGCAGCTGCCCTGGCTGGGGACTGGGGGCCGAATCTGCTGCTGCTCCCACTTAGCTTCACCCCAGAAATATGCACTGGTGAGAGCAGAAAGCAGCTGCATCCCTGCACCCCAAAACCACCAGCTGGAAAGAGCATCCTCTGCCCCTGACAGGTGCGCGGTGTCCCCACTCGGCTGGGCAGCGGGTCCCCAGGGCTGGGAGCCGTCGGGATGAGCCTTAGCTTCTCATAACTGAATTTAGTGCACTTAGTCTTTTAGGGCTGGGACAATCACTTAGTGCTTAACCTTTCGCGATTCGGTGCCTGCTTGACCTTCAAACCTTTTGTAGGAGATGAATTCAGAGCCACCTTTTCTATCTTTAATAAGGCAGAACAAATACATTTATTTTTAAACCCTCCTGCTCTTTCCTTTCCTCTCGTGCTGACAACCAAAAGAGTCCCCTGTGTCCCCCCCCGCCATTTCTGGCACGCCGAAACGAGTGTGTGGCAGTTGGGTCCGGTGCTCCGGCTGGATCCTGCTCTCCCACCCCCTCAATTCAGGGATGCTGCCACGGGGGGGTTGGTGCAGGGCAGGATCCAGCTGCGTTATGAGCTGGGAGGGGTCGTGGGATGGTGCCTGCCCCAATGCCACCCGTCACCTTGCTGAACCCCGGTGCCCACCAGCTGTGCACATCTGTCCCACTGCCCCCTCCCGGGGGCACCATCTTTCCTCCTTCCCCCCCCAAAACACACCCCGGTGCTTCCCCAGGCTTGGCACCAGGCGGTTTGGGGAGTGAGACCCAGCACCAGTTTACACGGGCAGGTTGGCAACTGGGAGCACTGGTTTCCCAGGGGTAAACTGCCGAGTCTGTTCGCTGGGGTGATGGTGACATGCAGCGATAGGGAAGCTGATGGATGCAATGAAAGTATCTGTACCTTTTCCACCTCTGGTGTTTCTCTGTCTCATTGCACATATATTTGAGATATATGTGACAATGTATATATATATATTTGTAAAATGTATTTCAGATGACAAAACTGGCCAATTTTATGTTATTTTAAATATATTATATATATTATATATAAGAGTCTCCAAAAGATATAAATAGACTAGAGAAAATAATATAAATATGTAATAAATGTATTTTGATCTATTTAAAATATCTCGCGTCATGCTGTATATTTTAAAGATCATAGGGAAGTGTCTGCCTGTAGCAAACTTCAAATGTGGTTTCAAGGCTGTCAGTTGTCACACATATAATATATATATGCAGCAAACTTTGAGCAAGATGGGGAGCCAGCAGGACAAATACAGATGGTTTTTAGGAGGCTTTTAGCAAATGTCCGTCCTGCTGCCTCTAGGTAGGAGCAGAAACCCAAAATCTGAATTTTCCTCATTATCCTGCAGGAGAAGATAATTTTTCGTCTCCACTGGGGAAGGGGCTGCAGGGATGCTCAGCAGGACAGGGCAGGCTGCAGGATCCCACCCGCCCCGTGCAGCCCCGCATGTGGGTACCATTTGCTCTGCTGCACTGCCCTGATGGGCTTTCGCCAGGGGACTAGATCGCAGTGGCTCACCCATGCGGGGAGCCCAGAG